AATCTTTAGCAAGTGTCCACAGATTCTTCCCTTTTGGGACTTTTTTCTACAAGAAAATATTAAAAATGATCAATCATTCCTTTTGAAGATGATGATGAAGAATTCAGGAATGTCAGCTGCTACAATTCATCAGATAATCTTGACTTTTGAACAGAATTCAGTGGAATTTTCTCACAGCACTTACTCTAGATAATGAGCTCAGTCATGAGATTTCTGTCTTCAGCAGTCTGAGCATGGTTTCACTGTATTGCATTTTTCCTTCAGCAGTTGTTCAGTATGATTATTAGATATTCACCAGTGTACAATCCTTTATATTTTAGTGGATGCTTAACACTGTTGGTTTTATCCTTAAGATTTTAAAATCACTACTACTGTTGTTTTTTTCATGGTTTTCCCTGAAGTACTGTATATTCTGCACAGTTCTTTATGCAAGCCTCTTTTAGCAACAACTGATTCTCATAAACTAGCATTATGTCTTTGAATCTCACTCAGTTATTCTCAGCCTACAATGGGACATAATGTGATGTCTTTTGACTGTTTTAAAAATGTAACATCATAAGAGCCCAGACACTTAAAACAAGTATCAAAAAAACCAAAAACAAAAACAAATTTTCAGTGTAAGAACAATAAAATTACAAATTTTTAAACTCAAATGGGATATTTTTATTAGCTGTTTGAAAAATGCACATTTTCTTTTCTAAATTTTTAAAGTATTGAAGATATATATATATATACATATATGCAATATGTACTACATATAAGATTATCAGAGAACCTAACAATGCTAAATGATTTTAAAGGTAAAGGAAGCAGGAAGAAAGGACTCCATCTAATGACAAGAGTAATCTGAAGAAAGTAATTTTCAAGTGAATTGCAGCTTTTATCTGCTACTGTGTAGAAATGTTGAGAAACGTGAATTAGAGCGTGGGAGCTGACAATGGCTACAGAGCAGGATGCTTAAGACACAGTAAAAGTCTGTGGGCAATTTATGTTGGTATGCTACAAATGGCTATCCTCAAAGGTGTCTGAATTCAAGGAGAGACTAGCTCCCCAATATACAGAGAAGAACAGATTTGTTTAACTTGTTCTTATACAGAAAGAAGAAACAAAATAATATGAACAAAGGAGATAACAGTAGCAGCAAACCTATAAAACTACTGCCATAGATTAAATTCAATAAAAATGAGGTCCAGGCAATAATTCATCAATAGCTTCTATTCACTTCAGGAGCTGCTTATCAGAAAACATGAGTTAGCCATCAGTGATTAAGAGCAGTGCTATTATAACAGAAATTATATCCCTATCCAGTTTGTCACTTCATCTTGAAAATATTAATGTCTCACTGAGGAACTTTTGTTTAATATCATGGTTGCTACCTGTCTGTTGGAGGTACTGTTGTCTGTCTGAGAGGATAATTAGATGGGTGAAGGACAATAAAACAGAAGGGGACTCTGTTAGGGAAATTGAACACTGAACAATTATGTTCCTAATAGATTTGCTTGAACTAATGGCAACCTATTTTAATTTGAGACTACTTAGAAGTACAACTTCTGTAGTTTTTGTTTTTCTTAATATGTAAAGAAAAGATGTATTCTGAGAGTCAATTTATTGTGCAATTCAGAGAACTGGAGAATAGCAGGAAAAATGGACTCAAGGTATCATGAAGCACTGGGACAGGACCTTTAAGGTGCTGCAGGCTTAGAGCCTGCCTGCTGTTTCAGAAGGGACCTGATACACTTGGCTGTGGGGGAGCCCTGACAATTTTACTACTAACTTCACTGTGGAAGAGACATATAGTTATCTTTTTATATAAAGCAGGTTTACTATCCAGATGCTTTGCAGAACATAGGTACCGTTAATTACTGAGAGATTAATTTGATCCTTGTACTTAACCCTCTGACAAAATGAGATTTTATATCAGCTGAGAGAGACTGGGAGAGAGCTCTCTCTTTTTAATATCGTGCCTTATACAGTTCATCAGCTTTACAGATTAGAAATCTGACAGCTCTTAATGTCTCCTAGTATATTGCACTGGCTGCTCCACAGCCACAGCCACTGACAGATATGCTTTAGTTTTTATAATGCTTAGGAAATAAGTGTTTAAAGTCTGCACTGCTGTTTCTCCAGCACCACACGAAGTTCCAGATCCTCTCAGAAACACTGCTGCAGTGCAGCAGATAAACACTGCTCAGTAACAGACTGTGCTCTCCCAGAGCTCAGTGTTTTGTACTGTATAATCATGACATCTATAGCTGCAAGCTGATAAACTAGCATCAGCTCTCCAAAACACTAGCAATGTCATTCAGACATGATATGTTGTCATGCATCCCTTGTCCCCACCCCACACTTCATTTTACAACATGCCGTGTACTCTCTATATAGCCAGACCTGAACAATTCTTTATTCTATGGGTAAAAAAAAATCATGGTACAATTGCCTTATTTCTTTTCTCTGTTTCTTAACTTGTACCAACTTGCAATAATTCAGTCTCTTGTACCAACTTGCATTAATTCAGAATTCCCAACTTTATATTGCTGTCTGTAAGCCCCTGTCTGAAGAGATCTGGTGATACAATGCCCAACAACAAGAAAAGGTGGCCGAAAATTTTCTTTTCAATGTCATTCAGCACAAATGCAGTGACAAATTGACCACAAAGTTCTCATGTGCATGGACTTACTGGAATTTATTTTAGTTGGCATTTTAGTAGCTATGTAAATTTTTTCTGCTATTCTTCTATATAGATGTTATGGTACCCTGAATCAATATTCTCAAGTGTAACGAGTGTTGCATGGTCTACAAAGGCACACAATGCACTGATTAATCAAGCCCTTTGGCTTTTTTTGTTTTTCACTGTCCATCTTGCCAATTAAACACTTCTAAGGAGCTTGAAGCAATGCTTAGTATAAAATTACATACCTTCTCAGAATGTAACTCTAAATCTGAGTAAATGAGAGGCATATTTCTGGGAAATGTTCTGTGCATAAGTTCAAAGACGTTTAAACGGTAGTGTTAGATTTTATTTGTTTATTTTAATTCTGAGAAAACAACAAATGATTCAAGTGTCAGACCAAGCTGTCAAAATGTTACTGGAGGTAGATGAAGGAATGCTGTCTTGCCTTGCCACATCTTATCTTGCTTTGCCTTACTTTACCTTTCCCTTCCCTTCCCTTTTCCCCAGTAAGACTGTACCATTGCAGCTGTCACAGCCAGAGCCTTTTAAAACCTACCATGTCCTATTGTCTGTGCCAGCAAGTCACTCCCAGCCTTTAAAGCTCCTTCCCCTTTGCTGACTTCCAAGAAGCTTTCAGGGGGTTCTCCCAGTCTAATGTGTATAATAGCCATCACCTGTCCGACCCTGATTTAAGTGCAGACGAAGTGAACTGGAACTTTGCAGACTCTGTCATTGAATTGGTTCCTAAAGGTAAAATTTCTTATAATGTGAAAAATGCTGTGGGATAGAAGAAGCTGTAAAGAATCTTGAGGTCACCCACTGTCCTTTAAATTCATGCTATAATATAGAACTGCAGCCTGTGACTCTTTAGTCTGCTGAAACCTTTCTTTAAACCTGTTTTTATTCTTTAAAAGTTGGGTGTCATGTAGTTACAGCATGGCATGCACCAGTTTATCTCTGCTCTTCCCACATTTTCTAGTGCTTTCCATTCTGTTGAACTAATGAATTGCTTAATAAATATTGACCACTGTAGTGCACATAAATCTGTGAAAGTATGTTACTACATTAACAAGCTTTCTGTGATCTTAACAAAGTTCAACAAAATACCAAAGAGAGAATTTTCCCTCAGTATTAAAGTTCTGAGAAATGTAAATTACTGATGACTATGTTTTTCCAATGTTTGTGTGGTCTCAAGTGGAGAGGTAATCTGATATCATAGACCTCATCTGTTTAGTATCCTAGTTCTATTAAGAATAAAATACAGATTTTTTTAACTCTAATTAATTATTCTTTAATCCATTTTTGGAGAGCTATATACTTCTTTGACTGCAGGAGGGATGTTGTGATTCCATGGAAGTGCCTGTGTGTTCCTACCTTCCCTATCTGTTCTGTAATATGTGAGAAAAAGAGTAACCATTTTTTACTTACAGCTTACTTGCTAAGTATGTTCAGATCCTCCAGTGTACATCCTGTTTGAGAGTGCTTCTTGAATTAACCAACTGATATTTGCATATTCTTCTTCCAAGAAATAACTAGGATTTTTTAACAGTGAAAATATGGACTGAAGTTACATTAGGGGGGACAATTCAGTTTCTGTACAGAGAAAATTAAGCTGAGAAAGAATGACCAACCTATACATGAAGAACTATGGTTCCCATTTTACAAAACAGAATGTCACCTAAGAATTGCACTACTGTAACAGTTATTTATATTTGAAAAAAATCATCTAGAGGCCTAAGAGAGGAATTTGGCATCCATTATGCCTTTTCATGTTATCTCATTTAATAAAATGAGAAACTCTATCTCCAGGTGTTTGCAATGAAAGCATGTGGCAGAGGGCAATGTGTTAATACAAGAGAGGAAGAGAGAAAAAGGTAACAATGAAATTAGCAGAATTGATTAGCAGAATGAGAAGCAGACATGGCCCAGCAGTGGGTAGGTGTGGTCAAGGGACAAAGATACACTTTAATAAGCCTTGAAGAAGACTTAGTAAATATTTATGCAAATCTTCTTAGCACTGTTTATGTAAAAACAAACAGTTGTTTTAAGTTTTCTGTGATTTAGTTAATCAGAATTTTTCCAAAGGAATGAAATTATCATAATTATTTCAGGAATATATGTAGTATGAAAATAGCCATGTTTTGCTTTTTTTTTTTTTTTGCTTGATTTGGTTTTACTCTTTCAGTATACTACAGTTTCTGCACAGAGTTTCTTTACTGTCTTTATACCAAAAGACTGATTTTCTGTTGTGTAAATTAGAGTTTCCTAAGACTAGGGGATTTTCATTTTGTCATTTTATCACCAGCTGTTTTGTGTCTGTAAATTGCAGGTGAATCTGTCTGGAAAGTCTTCTTCTTCACTCCAAACTTCAGTCCTGAGGACTCCAATGGTTGCTATGATTCTCATGTTTGCTTTTGCCATGGAGGATTCATTACACAACATGATCCCCCACTGCTCTTCGATCTGTCCAGAGACCCTGAAGAGAAAGTCCCGCTGACTCCAGAAACTGAGAGCCGTTTCTACGAAATCCTCAGGGTCGTTCACCAAGCGGTAGACAATCACACCAGATCCTTGCAGGCTGTTCCTAACCAGCTGTCATGGGACAACCTTCTCTGGAAGCCATGGCTCCAGCTCTGCTGCTCATCTGTCTTTCAGTCTTGCTATTGTGACTATGACTCAGGAGGGAGTCCGCTGGAAGTGCATTCAGGATAAACAAGCTGCAATTTGCTGTCAGAAACTGGAACGGAAGAATGTGGGTATCTGACTTGAACCAGCGTGGTACTAGCCTTCCAGAGGTTTTGTTGTATTAGATGAGGACCTGTCTTCAAAGACACATTGCAGTAGAAGAAAATTTCAGTCAAGAAAATGTGCCAAGAAAGGGAGGATGAGACACTGCTTTTCTACCTTTATCATACAGCATGAAAAACATGTTGCCATCCTCATCTACAAATGAGTAGACTGTAGGCGTTTTCTATGTGAGATAATTTTCTAGACCTTCAACTTCAGCTTCTTTCTTACACAGCAAAGAATTTAGCTGTGGTTTCTGTCAATCACAACAACTAAATGCACACTTTCCTGTCCTTTTTGCTAAGTGTTATCCACCATTAGTAGGACATAACACTGAGTAATTAAAGAGAGAGAGATAATAGTGGAGAGGTCCACCTGTGACTGTCATTTGGTAACTGATAGATAGGTTAATAGCAGACTTGCAACATCATCTTTATCAACAAGCATCATGGATATGAAAAAATTAACAGACTGCCAACAGTCTAACTTTGTATGTGCCATAAAAATGTACAGAGCTATGTAGTGGAAGTCGTTGTGTCCATATTAAAACGATGCTCCCCAGCATCCCTACTGTCCTATTGCATGTCAGCAACCTTTGTTTATCAGTTGTGCACTTGAGTGTGTACCATAAGTCTCCATATATATATATATATATATATATATATATATGTGCAAGCCAAATTAATAACCCACAAATCCTTCAATCTCTGATACAGGCACACCTTTATGGTCGTAGCCCAGTTGATAAAATAAAAGGTTTGGTCTGTACTTGATATTTGAGTTCCAAATACACGATCCTACAAATATATCTTTCACTATCTTTACCATACCTATTCTTCCATTGATGAATGTAATCACAAATAAATAAAATTTGGTCTTCCTTTAAATATCTTTACCATCTTTTAAGATTTCTGAATAGGATCTATGATTTTCTGAAAATAAACTTGGGCTTCAGTACTTAAAGCCAAATATAACAGTCTCTGAGTTCTTAGCAAGGCCTTGGGAAACCTACTGTTCTCCAGGGATAATTTCTGTGTCCGTTTTTAGCTGAATCTTATTCAGGCACATTTTGTTTCCACTCCACAGGCAGACAAGCTATTTTCTTTGGAAGATTGTAGATGAAGAGAACATATCAGCAAAATACTAAAATGATTTGATGCCTGATAATAGAGGGTGACTTGCTCCTTATCAGAAAGAAACAGTTAATTCCCACATTACATTGTATTAAAACCTGTTTGGTGCAAAAGTGATCTGTGTTGATAGTAATGCAATAGCTTCAGTCAGCCAACATTAAGGTTGTGACCTGGTTCTTGTGAGCTATTGAAGCCTGTCCTGTAAAATATATTGTGATATATGGCGTATTTCTCTGTCTGTAAAACCTAGGCTTTATTTGATTTTTCTGCTGCAGTTTCATTCCAAATTTCATTCTCCACAATATCCAGATGCCTGTCCTGGGAAATGTACTTTTTCCTTGAAGTCCTATTTTTGATGCTCCACCCTGTGTTTATGATGGTATGTCCTCTGCAAGCTCTTTGTAGGTGGCCAAGTCCCATGTGTGCTGATAAAGTTTGTCTGTTCAGATATTTCCCTGATAACCACTCAGGACCATTTACATTGCATCAGGAAAGCTGTCAGATGGGCATTCATATGGTATAATTCCCTCTGTGCTTTATTTAATTACTGAATGTATTACATAATCTTAGGAAGAAAGATCCCTGCCATTTGAGTACAAGTATTATTCTGCAGTGATAGTGGCTGCCTCTAGACATCGTGGCAGGATCCATACATCCCAAATTTATGGTCCTCCCCATGTGACCGTAGAACCCCTTGGGGCATGGTGCTGGTGCCACTGTGCCTCCCCCCACAGTGGGTGAGCAGTCCGGGCTGTGGCTGAGGTGCCAGAGCCCCATGGCATGGAGGGATGCTCTTTCCAACTCCTGCAACTCTGCCACAGCTTACACAAAAACTTTTCAAGCAAGTATTCCTGCTGAAGCATGTGGGAAAAAATATGTAGTGTGTTAGTATACAGTGCTAAATCAGACAAGGTGTTTGGTGTCATTGGATCTATTTTGTTCCCACAGTTTCTGGGTTGTGACCTTAACTAGTATCTCAATTTATACTGTCAAGGACCTCCACATCTACTTCTTTTCATCAAGATAGTGCTGTGTTGCTGTTATTTCTTTTATTTTCTTTCTGCAGGTACAAGAATTGTTCTGTTTGGCACAACAGTTGTTCTGTGCTGCCTGACTGAAGTCCAAAAATGGTAAATTTTCTACTGCTCTAGTTTATTCTTGCCTGAATATGACTTTTCTTTCATACCCTCCTTGGCTTTTGATGTCATCTTTGTAATCTCCTTTCTTTAAACATCCACATCCCTCAAATATTTTTCATCTATTTCTTTGCCACTCAGTCCATCTGTTTGCTTGTCATATTGATTGTGATGGTTATTTTACCCTAAACAAGCAGAAAATGAAAAGTGGTCTTTGTCAAAAGATTCAACTGCTAGGGCTCCTTGACTCTGCTAACCTCCTGCTTATTTAAGGTTTAGCAAGGATTAACTTCATATTATGAAATATAAGAAATTAAAACACAGCCAAGACACCATAAATAGAAAAAGCTTTTTTTTTTCTGTTGCAAAAGCTTCATATTTTCCAAAACAAAATTTAGTCCAACATTTAATACTTTGACTTAAGTGGTAAAATCTGAAATCCATTTTTAAAATTGTTCCTTCAGGAAAGATTCTATTAAGAATAGGGCAGTATTTTTCATACTCTATGTTAATGCTATTTTGTTTAATGCCTAAAATAAACCTTCCCTGTATTGCAAATGTATTATACCTTTCAGTACTGTACCTTCTGTTCTAGCGATGGCATGTCAGATTGTGATAATTAAAGTAGTCTTGTTTATTTGCAATATAAAATGTGAAGGACAGTATACCATTTGTGTAATGGTATTGCCTGAGCTAACAAGGAAAAGTTTTGTTTTCCACAACAGGTTATTACAGAATCACAGAATCAGAGAATATACCAAATTGGAAGGGACCCATAAAGATCATTGAGTTCAGCTCCTGGCCCTGCACAGGACCATCCCCAGGAGTCACACCATGTGCCTGAGAGTATTATCCAAACACTTCTTGAACTCTGTCAGGCTTGATGCTTCCTTGTGGAGCGTGTTCCAGTGCCCAGTGACTCTCTGGATGAAGAATCTTTTCCTAATATCCAACATAAACCTCCTCTGACACAACTTCAGGCCTTCCCTTGGGTTCTATCACTGGTCACCACAGAGAAAATATCAGTACCTGCCCCTCCTCTTCCCTTCATGAGGAATTTGTAGACTACGATGAGGTCTCCCCCCAGTCTCTTCCCCTCCAGGCTTTTTTTTTTTTTTTTATGGAATATACATGATTTACAATTTATTAACAAAGAAGGCTCAAGGAGAATGTGCTGCTCTGGTACTTTGAGACTGACTTTCAATCTATCATTTAATGAACATCAGTATTGTACCATAGTACCTGTTTGTAGGACGTGTCAGTTTAAACTGAGAGTTAAGCTTCAGAGAAAAGTATATTCCTCTGTAGTACTGTTTTACAGTATCACATCCTGGTTTGTCACAGAGTCCCTGTATGGCACAGAGCAAGTCATTTAACTTTGTTTTTCAGTTCCTCCACTGTGCCCAAAGAAGAATAACAGTATTTCTCTAACTGCTGGGAATACTGAAAGAACAAACGATGTTGAAGGTGCACTTTCCAGTTAATAAGGCATCTTCTCTACAGAAGGTACAATTTAAATGCTGGAAAACTATGATGTAGAAGATTCTCCTTTACGAGGAGGTATTCAATATCCTTAATTTGAGGACTGCAGATGAGTTCTGTGTGTACTGTTTAACACATGTAGGATCAGGATCTGGAGGAGAGAGAATAGATGGCTAAAAAAGATACACACTGGGGATTCAGAGAAAGTTATGTCACATTTTTCTAATTACATTTATTCTCTTTTTTAGAAGTCAAGGTGACTATGTGGAATAATAAAAAATGTTTCCCCCTCAGGGACTTGAAGTCACAGATTCTAGGCTCTTAAAAATAGAGATGTCCTGACTTACCTCAAATTACTGTCAGAAAAAGAAAAAATAAAAAAAGAAAAAGGGAAATAGAAGCCTTTGGAGATAGGTGTCAGCTCACTGAAATCCAACTGAAAGTTTGCAGAGAACTAGGTGAATATGGTCTGTATCCTTCACAGCTCAGTGAGGATCATCACTTGCCAGCAATGGTTTCTTTCACAGTGCAGTAATGTGAGATCTGGGTGTTCAGATATGTGAACAATGTAAAAATTTTACATAAGATATCACCTGATATAGAAACAAATGGAAAAAGAGAGAAACCAAGTGTAAGAATAGCTACAAAAATTCTATGTTTCAATAGATGGAGCAATGTTTTAATATATGTTTAATTATTTAATATATGTTTATGACTTAAATTAGCACAATGTTTTTGATTTACATTAGGACATAATAGTTCTGTGCTTTTCATCTTCTCTGTCATTTCCCTTTCCTCTGGCATTGCCTATGCAGCATGGGAAAGACACTCTGAGGAGCAAGAAGCATCCAACCTGCCCTTGTAGTCTACAAGCAGTATGGGCAGGAGGAAATACAGAGTAGGCAAAACTCTGCACTAGAAACTACCAGGAAGCAAACGGTGTCTGGAGATTATCTCCAGCCTCAGGACAGAGGCTTGCAAATGGCTGGTTCCTCTGGGTCTGTCAGGGACTGCAGGTGACTGCGGGAGGAAGGAGGTGGCATCTCTGGGCAGCTGGACTGCAGTGTGTTCTGCAGCAGTATCCTTCAGTGTCAGGCTGTCGTGTGGAAATTAGTTGGGAGCCCACAGGATGCAGGACTCCTTGCCTCTGAATAAATACACCAAGCAGGCTGCTCCTGAGTCATACAGATGACAGATCTTAGTCTGACGCTCTGGCTCTAAGAGAGCAACAGTCTCGCATTTTGTTCCCTGGAAAACCAGAAGACCTGAACCAGGCTCTAGGGACTCCCAGTTTGCAGGACACTAAAACTGCAAATAATTCAGAGAGTCCTGGAAACACCCTGGCAGATCATATGGCATTTCCAAAACATTTTGCTGTTCTTGGTACCTTTTATTTACATCAAAAGCAGTAAGAATCTGTCTAAAACTTCACCTTTGTTGTACAGCAAACAAAGGATATTGCAAATTTTTTCTTAAGACCCCCAACAATAGCTTTAACCTGCAAGTTTGATACTGAGAACAGTGAGTTTGTGCCAACAAAAGGTGCAGGAACTGAAGGTTTCTTATGCATATGGAAAAATGCTGAATTCCAGACTCCCACTATAACTTGCACTATTCTGATTGGTAAGATAGACTGGCTTGATTATCCACACGTCTCTAATTGTACTGTCAAAGTTATGAAGCATTGCAGAATTTGGGGGATGTGGATTCTAGGCTTTGCAATGTTTATGCAGCATCTCCCGAATATCTAAAAAACATTTCTATTAAAGAATAGATCATGCTAGGTTCCCTGTGGAGATTGATGTTAGTCTTATCTATAAAAGAATGGTGTTACAGGTACTTCCTTGGAAAATAAAACCGTATATGAAGATAACATTCAGCATGTGTGGTAAGCTCAGCATTATTTATTCTACAGTTATCCAATAATAAAGTCTTTTTATACAGATAATATTTTATTGTGCCTGATTTATGTGAAAAATGCTGTGAAGTAGTTTAAATTATAAGGCAGAGCTCTTAATTTTTACACTTATTTTAAGAGAAATCGATATGAAGTTGCTTTGGGTAGCAATATTTATTACAAAAGATTAGATACAAAGCGTCTCAAAAGCCTTATGGACTGAAGTTGGGCTACAAGAGAATAACTTTGGTTTAATTTGGTCTTCATTGCTCATAAATGAAAAAAAAAAACAAATTATGAAGAAAAAACTCCAACTTTAAGAATAGTTTGCCTGTGCTTTTAGTGATAAAAAGAATACTAGAAGTTTATACCATGCACGAGAATTTCTTTCATTTTTTTCCTTACTGTTATCTTTTATGCTATAACTCCTCCTGCCAAGCAGACAAAATATTCAGGTTTAGAAAAACGTGCTGATTGGTTTGTAGTTGTCAACCTTGCATTGTCTTATGTAATGCATTGGGAAGCAACTGATTAATGCCACTGTTCTGATAA